ATGGTATTCTAATAAGCCTTTTCTTAATGTACATTTCATTTACTACTATTTAAAACAAAAATTGTATCGATATCGTGATTCGCCTCTGAGATACAGCAAAAAGAAAATCGAAAGGTCATACATTTTTTGAACATGGTCAACTTCGCCCCTCATTTTAGCCCCTCAAGTAAAGCGTGTTGACGTTCGCTTTAGTTTTCCTTTAACCGACATAACTTGAACTTTATTCACACAAAAAATTATTGCGCTAGCTCTTTTCCTTCTCGTTATATTAGATTTTAAACAAAAAAAATGTGATTTAGCCCATAGTGCGACGCAGACGCTACTCGCGAGTAGCGTTTTGCCCATTGTGTACAAATACAAGTGAGATATCTTAGCAATAGACGTCATCCTGGGCCACAGCTGCGATCATCTCTTTTTTAGAGCTGCTTATCTTGGTCTAAACTGCTCTTTTTTGACCTGAGTTGCATTAAATAGTCTTATACAACTTAGTAGTATTTGTGGTTCAAATGGTAAAATATATGCCCAAAAACTTGAAAAATATTAGATGATTGTTTTTTAAAAATGCTATTTAGTAAATTTCGTTTTGATTTCGACATTAGAAATATTCAGATTATAAAAGTTTTCACATATGTTTTAAGATTTTAAAAATTTTGAAAAGTACGGTAGAATGCAACAATGTGGTTGAATTTGTTTGCATCTTCGTCAGCTTATTCGTTTGCAGACTAGAAAAATGGCGAACAGCCATCAAAATACTAATTCAAACTACACAAAAATGGGTGCGCGCAGCAAAATTCAGCCCTAATGGTAAGTTCATTTCATCGTGCGGCGACAAGTTAAGAATTTGCGATACATTTTCAGGCGAATGTATGCGAGCGTTCACCGTGGGAAGAGGTATGGGACGACAGCTGGCATGACATCCAGACGGCAATCTGGTGGCTTTAGCATTAAGGTGGCAAACAGAGTGGAAGCGAAGCCGAAGACGAAGATGAAGACGAAGCCGAAGACGAAAAACAGTGCAGTAGTAGTACAGCCTTATTATGTATCTCGAAGCGAACGTTCGTTTCGTCTGCCAGACGTTTCGTTCGTGCGTTGGTAGTATGTAAGTCGAAATCGTCTGGCAGCACGAAAACAGCTGATCGTTACGTAGTTGTTCGTCTAGTTTGGAATTTTTTAACGCGAATAGGAGACGAAAGTGAGACGACAATCGTTGAAAATAGACGAAAGGTTATTAGTGATCGTTAAGATGGAGGGTTCTGCCAGAAAAAGTAAGAAGATAAAAAAATATAACTTGATTTAAGAAAATATATTAATATTTATGCTTGCAGCGTTGAAAAAAACTACAACCACACAATTTGAGGTATTAGTTAAAGAAATGGAGAGAAATCCTGACCTGGCCAGAGGTGTTGCAGTGTTTGGTTCTGATCGAGGAAGGGTAGAGGAGCGGTGGGAGGAAATTATGAGGAAAATTAATTCTCATGGTCCACCTACAAGAACGGCCGTCGAATGGAAGAAAGTAAGCATATGTACATACATTGTATGTCGTAGATAAATGTTTTCACACTATTTCCATTTTACTGACATTGAATTCTATTTTTTTTTCAAGATATGGGCTGACTTGGAAAGCTACCGGTGGTGGCCCATTCCGCCACTCTCCGCTTTCCGAAATGGAGCAGACCATAGACAGCCTTGTTTTTATTTCAAGGTCAGCGGCACCGAGCGTCAGAGTTTTCGGCATTCCTTCGACGGCGACTTCAAACGCATCCAGACATTCGTCGATTGAGGAAATGCCTCCTTTACTTGTGCCAGAATCGCCGACACTAGATGAACGAAGGCAACCAACAACCCTTGAGTCCCCTATAAGGCACAACCAACCACCACCAGTGGGAGTAGTGACTCCCACTACACAGACAACCCGCCCTACACCAACGCACACGTTACGTTCCACAAATAGGAAGCGCACCTTCCAAGAGACAGTGGCTGAATCTGCCAAAATCCAAGCCGAAGCCGCTAAAGTGCAGGCTGAGGCTGCAAAAAAAATGGCAGAGGCATCAATGCTGCAGGTGGAAGCCACAAATAAATTAACTGCTGCAGTGGAACGCCAATCTGCAATTTTTGAAAAATTTTTGGAATACTTCCACAACTAATTTGCATAGTGATTGTATTGAAGTGATATTTTGTTTTTTTTTTTTGTGTAAATATTTTTTAGATTTAAGTGTGAATTAATGTTTTGTTGCATTTTTTTAGTATTTATGTAGGTTTAAGACTGAAAAGATACTTTGTTTTTTTGTGTAAATATTTTTTAAATTTAAGTGAATTAATATTTTGTTGCATTTTTTTAGTATTTATGTAGATTTAAGATTTAAGGCTGAAAATATATTTTGTTGAATTTGTATGTAAATATTTTATTAGTTTTAAGACATAAATGAATTTTGCTAGTGTACCTGAAATCTAGACACACATACTTTATAATAAAACTGCGTTTATAACAAACTCTCTGCTATTCTCATTCTAATAAGGGCAGCTGTATTCGAAATGTTACTGTTTTCAAGTTCTTCTTCGTAACTAACAAGATTCTCCATATCTGGGATCTCCAATGGAATTTGATGTTTGAAAAATATACAAACGTTATGAATAGCACAGCACACATTTACAATTTGTGTTACTTTTTCCGGTGAATAATGTAGTCCTCTCGAGCCAATTATACATCGAAATCGGTTTTTCAAAACACCGAAACATCTCTCAATTACATTACGAGCTTTCGAGTGCTTTGTGTTGTAATTTCGTTGAATTCCATCGGCTGCGCTTCTGAATGGCGTCATCAAGTATGGCTGCAAGGGGTAACCAGAATCACCTACAAAAATTTTCATTGTCATCAATAATTTTATAGCCTTTTTAAGTTTTAAAACTTACCAAGTAGCCATGTGTT